TGTTACATATTTACAATCTGAAAAAAACAAAAAAACAAGTTATTTATAGCAGAGGACACTGGCATTAAAAAGATAGATTTTCTTCATGCCTGAAAGTGTACATCACATACCACAAGGATCTATACTTTGTGTGGAAACTTCAAAATAAAAAAAGTCACAGGGAGATCAATACCAGCTTTGTCCCACATCTTCAGATGCTCAGCTAACTGCAGTGGCTGCTCTCAAATTCCCCACCCATTCCCTCTGGGCAAGTTCCAATAGGTAACAATTAGGGAAAAAAGAAGCTTCAATCCCTCCCCATTGCACACCCAACTTTCACAGACCCAAAAGTCCAGCTAAAGCCAGTGAAAAAGCAGTGAAAGCCATGCTGGAATCCCCTCTGTGAAACAGACACTCATGTTCACATTTCCAGCGCGAAGGTCACCTCAGAGCCGGGTCGGCCCCGCAGCAGCAAAGCCGTGACACCCGTCACCAGAATTACAGAAGCAACGTCTAGGTCAGAGATTAGTGACTGCCAAAAATAAGGTGAAAGTTGCCCCCCCAAAGCCAGTGAACACGGGAAAACCTGGGCAGGTTTCCTTCGCAAAGAAATTGAAGAAAGTTTAAGATGATCAGAAAAGCAAGAAAGGAGTGCTAAGTGTTACTTACCATATGAGCTGTATGTTAAAAGCTTGTTTTTTTATTTACCAGTGCTAGAAATAAGTTTCATGCCAAGGGTTTATAAAAGAAAAAAAAAAACTTTGAAAAATATTCATGAGAACTAAGTCGCACAAGAAAAATTAAAACTTGAGAATTAGTGAAAAATTTTAGACATCAAATTTTAAAAAAATGAAATGCTTCCTGCATTAGGTACGGATCTTCAGACTCCCACGTGAATAGCCAGGAATGGTGGCACGTGCCTGTGGTCCCAGGTACTTGGGAGGCTGAGGTGGGAGGATCACCTGAGCCCAGGAGGTTGAGGCTGCAGTGAGCCGAGATCACACCACTGCACTCAAGCCTGGGTGACAGAGTAAGACCTTGTCTCACAAAGAAAAAAAAAAAACAAAAAACAGAAGAATATATTTCTATATTTTATTATTGTCTCTTGGCAAAAAAACTAAACTAGCCCCAATGTTGCCTTAGATGTAATTTAATATTCTCAGTTTACAAAGGGGAAAATGAGGTCAACAGCCAAGACCAAAGAGATAACAAATGCAATGGTGCATTCAGGGCAATGACTACAATTATAAAATATTCAGTTCAATTTCTACCCTCAGCATCAAGGCAGGGGTTTGTCATAATGGATATTGGAAGCTCAAAGAAAATTTAGGCTCAGCATTTAAAAAAAAAAAAGCAGATTTTAATGCTGGTGCAATCACAGGAGACTGCTGCCCAGTCCTCCTCAGCACTGCAGGTACTCACGGGCACTCCCGGGGTCTTGAACGTGCTACGTCCCCGCCAGTGGCCACACAGAAGAAGCAGTAAAACTTTTTGGGAGTGAGATCAAAAATGTGCAGAGTCTAAAAACATACTTTCTAGGGGGAGAAAAAGAACGAGAAGCTCTCATTCAGGGTATTTGTAAAAGACTGTTTCTAGCACACTGGTAGATAAAAAGGGCCGGGGCCCTCAGGTTAGCGTCAGCCGGCGCCCGCCTGGCGGGGCGCACACGGACTTACGTCGGTGATAGTGTTCAGGGCTGTGTCTGCCCCGATGCTGAAATCGGAACCCGGCACATTGTTGGACACAGTAGCGGGAACCATGACCATGGGCACACAGAACTCCTCGTGCTTCTCCCGGGCGGCTGACAGCTCCAGGAGTCCCAGGTAGGCCTGTCAGACAAGCATGGGAGTTGTGGGGCGAGAGGGAAGCAGGGAGGAGGGGGTCTCGCTGGGAGAGCCTCAGGGAGAGCCACCTCCACCACAGCACACAGGGAGCACAGTGGGGCGTCACGAAACCACTAC